TTGGATACCTTTGTTTTACGAAATTTTCTCTACAACCATTCAAACATTGAATTGTCTTATAATTCTCACTGTTTATAGACATTGTAATTTTTCACGTAGTTTGCAGCTGATGAGAACTTGTAAAATAAAAAAAATCATTTTACACTTAAATTTATTCTTTCTTTCTTTCTTTCTTTATCGAAATTAACCAAAGGAACCAATGTGTATGAAACTTGTCATAACTTTTACATTGACAGGATATGGAGATATTTTAAAATTTTTTGAGACTTTACAGTCAACAATACCTTCTCAGACTAAATGATTTTATTCATACTAAATTTTTCTTATTAAGTCAGGATGTTATATTTTGGCTAGTTTGAACAAGATTGAGTTAACCAGTCGTAAGTGATTTGTTATCATAAAAGTTTAACTAATGGATGGTGACTAGCAGTGGAATTTAGGATAACGCGCATTTCGTCCCATTTGGGTCTCGTCATCTGGATGTACCTGCATTCTCCAGTGAGTGATGATGCTAGTCACCATCCACCAATTAAACTCTAATTACATGCCCAGACATCGTCGAAGCATCTGTACAAGCAGCCGACATGTCAACCCTGAGACCGAGCACTTCGGTCCAATCAATCGACGGGAAAATCTAAAATTCAATTCAATAACATGAAAGTTATTTACTGTGTGATTCGAATCAGATGTCACCTGATCCATAGCCTGGCGCTTTATGGTTCACAACTGCCAGACTAAGTTGCTGAACAATGTATATGATAGTTATTATTACAGTTATTCCCTTGGGTACTGAATCGAACAGGACGTTTCCAGTTATCCTCATCTCTGAAGTCACCTCTAGCTTCTCAGACGATTGTCTATAAAGTTTCATCTTCTAGATATTACCCTCATACGCTCAACTTGTCGTTTCCTACTTGGGTTTTGCTCAAGGGCCTGGCGTTTGATGCCACTCAATGGTCTCCTCAACGTATGACAGTAATACCTAAACTAATCTCACAGAGACTTTTATTCATTTACACTTAAGTTTTAACTAAGATAGACATGGGAAGAATATAAATGAATAGTAAAAGTAACTATGAAAACTTGTGGCTACATTTACCTAAACGCCACTGATCTTTCTTATGCACAGAGAGAACACCATCACATTATTCCACTGCTGGCTGAGGGTGTTCGCTGGCTTATTCACTAATCAAAGGAACTTAGATAAGAAAAATGATTTAATTGATTTATATTTGAGAATAGACTGATAACAGTCAGAGATTAATGGCTGTTTCATTTTATTTCGCGACACTTCATCATAATCCATGCACACGGGATTCAAATTCTGGGCTAGATCATAGGCCATTCAGCCGCTGGGTACACAAATTCTAACTTCTACTAATTCGTGATTTATTTTAGTGCGACCACCAGCCAAACTAGGACAAAACAGCTGTCTAGTACTGCCTGGATTTCAGTAGTTCTCCAACTGATATCAGTCTGTGATCAAACTTGAAACAAATCGAAAACCCTACATAGTAATGCTTCAAAAATTATTTACCATGCAACTCATTATTGTTGAATTCGACACGATTCAAATTAAATATAAGGTCAGATTTCACACAGACATCAGTTAGAGAATCACATGGAGGATTTCATCATGAGCTGACGTCAGTTAGAGAACCACTGGAAAATCTGGGAGTACTGGACAGCTATTTCGTCAACCTGGTTTGGAACTCTTCATCACTACGCACCCACGATGGGGGTTCGAACCCAGGACCTTCTAGTTACAAGGCCAGAGAGCTCATAGATCACTAAACCACTGGGAACCGTTCAAATGTCCAGCCCCTGAATTCTAACTTCTTCCAATTCACAATGTTTTCTTCGATGAGTTACTGCCTCATCTTCAACCTGATTCACCCTATTGATCACAGCTTCCCACTAGAACCCCGGGTAACTTCCTGAATAAGGACAGTCACCAGTGAGCATCAGATCGCACTACGCCATGAATTGTCAAAAGTTAGAATTTGTATGCCGGCCATTGGAGCTATTCCCTGTGGCTTAATGGTCTACGAGCTAGCTCGCCTTGTAACCAGAAGGTCCCAACTTTGCACCCAGCACTGTGGGTGGCTGCTGTTGAAAAGTCCCAAAGTAGGTTGACGAAACAGCTGGCTGTCCAGTACTCCCAGTTGGTTTTCCAGTGGTTCTCTAACTGATGTCAGCTCATGATGAAATCCTCTATGCAATTAAACAAAATCCCTACAAAACCAATACTAGAAAGTTACATAATTATTGAAAATCAAGGAGAACTGGGCGGTTGGTTCGTCCTAGTTTCGGATTTTTCAGTCATGTACACCCATAACACCACTGGTGATAAAACTCAGGGCTTTCAGATTACAAGTCCAGCCTGTTGACAATTCAGCTATCGAGTCTAATTTCAGTTCTATATACCATATTTAGCAAAACGTTGAGTTGAAATAGAGAAGCTGGCCTGGTAATCATAAGTACCGCTTGTCTGTGCGAACAATGTATACAACGATCAACCGGTCTCTCTCTCTCTCTATAGTCCACACTAAGTGTAATACTAAGTCTCATCATCCTAGAGAAGATGAAAGATGCAGTGGACGCAGAACTCCGCCAGTCCCACTGGAACAAGCTCGCTGGATTTCAAGGAAAAGCAAATCATGTTCTGATCGGATGGAAACCCTATGCATTGTCATCACAGAACAAAGCATACAACGATAGTCAAACCTCTCTCTCTCTTTCTACCATATTTTAATTCACAGGAAGGCAGACAAGCTGGCTGGCTGCCTGCCTACCTATTATCACCCACGATGATATTTTTTTCAATTGTGGTGGACTGGATTATGCCTCAGACTGTTGGGGGCTAAGAGTCAGGAATACTTTGGACGACCGATAAGAAGACTGTAGAAGATCTGGATTTTGCATATAGATGATAAATTTCTAGTGTTACCTTATAGTATATATATATATATATACTATAAGGTATAATTCAAAACAATACCTGGGATATATCAGTTCATCTGTAATAATGATTAGTAAAATAGTGGGCGAGTTTTATGTAGGTCATTTCTGATTGGCTCATACCCAGACTGAACATCGATTACCATATCACCTCTCTCTCCCAAAAAATGTTGAAAATGATTTCAGTATCTTCTTTTCCTTCGATCGATTTGGAAACCTACCGTCTCTGATTTTTTACCATCAGAGCAACTGCCAGATAAAATCTACCTTTCGACTTCGGAATCCTTTTTGGTTGGGTCTGGATTGACTTTGGGGGTAGTTGTAGATCCAATGGTAGCTTGTGTTCTGAGGATGTGGTATAGTGACGTCGTATCTGGCTTTTATGTCTCATCCACCTTTCATGTCCAAAAGTTTAACCTCGTGCATTAGAGTCCCATGCTAACATTCTATCAGACCATCGACCAGACTGGACACCAATTAAATTACCCCATCACTAATTTATATCAATTTTCAGGGTTATAGTTTGGCACTGCTGACGATTGCTTCAACGTGGTTTCCAACGACTCTCTAGGTGGTGTTGGTTGACCTTCTAGGAAATCTAAGCTAAAATTAATCCAAATTCTTCCAACAAAACTCAAAAGTCAAAGGATGTATGTCTGTGTGTATCCCTTGGATTTTGAGTGGAACATACATATTGATTAACCCATCTCCACTCCCTTCAATTCTCTGCTTTCTTCTTCAACTGGCTAGCTCCACGATTGACCATAATCCCTCATCTCCTCCTCCAGATCACACGGTCTCCTCCATGTCACACTCGCACTGCCGACTTACTTGTCGCTTCACAATGAGATTCCACTCGAGTGATAGCCTGGTGTGCCATGTCATTTGACGGTGTGTCAAACTGTGCCCGATCCATTTCCATTTTCTTCTGCATATTTGTTAAGAGATTGGCTTTTCCTTGGTTGGTTTGTTCCCCCAGCCGGGGTTTCTTGTTGCTAATTCTTTCTGGCAGTTTGATCTTTAGCGTGGAGCGAAGGCAGCTGTTGATAAAGAAGGTCTGTGTAACAGGTTGTGTTGAAATCCTTTTGCGTGACATACAGTGCAAATTTCTGACTCGTATAGAAGAAATGACTGACTGACTGATTGAATTTACATTTGTGTTGAATAGTATCCGAAACTTGTTGTTTATGCAGGCTGACTGAGTAGGGCAAAAGATTTCCGAACTGGTTTCAGCTTGATGAAGGCTTATCTTGCCATTCCGATTCTGACTGATTTTGACATCTTCATCCGTTCCGACTGCCTGCGGTTAAAACGATGAGGGCTGCCTACATAAGTGAAGGAAATAACCACTGATTGTGTTTGGTGCTGGTTTTTGTTGTTGTTGTCATCTTCATCACCTCCGTCTCCACCTTCTCTAGGTTCACCTGCAGTCCTGTCTCCGCTGCCTACTACCTCTTCAGCCAGTTCGTTGGTTTCCGCCTGCAAGTTTTCGAGTTTGTATGACACTAGAAATTTATCATCTATATGCAAAATCCAGATCTTCTACAGTCTTCTTATCGGTCGTCCAAAGTATTCCTGACTCTTAGCCCCCAACAGTCTGAGGCATAATCCAGTCCACCACAATTGAAAAAAATATCATCGTGGGTGATAATAGGTAGACAGGCAGCCAGTCAGCTTGTCTGCCTTCCTGTGAATGAAAATGAGGTGGAGAGAGAGAGAGAGGTTTGACTATCGTTGTATGCTTTGTTCTGTGATGACAATGAATAGGGTTTCCATCCGGGCAGAATATGATTTGCCTTTCCTTAAAATCCAGCGAGCTTGTTGCAGTGGGACTAGCGGAGTTCTGCGTCCACTGCATCTTTCATCTTCTCTAGGATGACGAGACTTAGTATTACACTTGGTGTGGACAAGAGTATTATTCCATGCCATTTTTTGCGTGGTAGCTTGAAAAAAGTAACTTTTCTTCCTGTCGATATGCAGCTTGTTATAGTGTATGAAGTTTTATTTGTAATTCCCTCTCTCACCTCTTTTTATTAAAGCGATTAGATACTGCTCAAATATAACCTTGAAGAATAATATCAAATTGAAGTATATTACTGGTAGATACTTAAAAAGAGACAGCAGAATACAGATTCAGGTTTCCCGCTGAAATATGTCAGAAAGGCAAATAAACTTTTCTAAATCCCAGTTAAATAAATCAACAAGAATAATGGTAAGATAATAATAATAATGATTTACTTTATTCCAAAAACAGTACGTGTGATACAGATAGGAATTTTCAGCATTAATCACAATATTAATATATTTATTTGTTGAAGTTTCTGTAGCGATTTGGTAATTTCACGGGGGTGGAGTTGCTAGCAACACGCCCCAACCCTCCCTCTTTATCCGGGCTTGGAACGGGCTAGAAAACTAGCAAGCTAGTAATCTGGTGAGGTTAAGTGATTTATGTTTGATGTCACACAAAATCGAGGACTTCCAAACGAAAACCGATAAACTGGTCGAAGAAGCAGCCGGTGAGGACAGGACTCCAGGTGAACATATACAAGACGGAGGTGATGAAAATAACCAACCAACCACCACCAACAACAACAGCAGCAACATCCAGCGCCAATCACCATCAACGGGAGGGATTTGAAAGAGGTTACTTCATTCACTTATCTGGCTAGGGAGCATTGTCTCAAATATAGGCAGTTGGAAAGGACGAGGATGTCAAATCGAGCGAGAATCGGGAAGGCGAGAAACATATTCGTAAACCTGAAACCAATCTGGAAATCTTCGTCACACAACTTAGCATCAACAACAAAATTCGGATTTTCAATACAAACGTAAAGTCAGTTCTTCTATACGGATCAGAAAGTAGGCGGGCGGGTCACAAAGAATATTTCCAACAGCCTGCTGCAGACCTTTATCAGCCAACAACTGTCTTGGTTCTATACTGAAGATGAGATGGTCGGGCCGGAAAGAATCACCAACAAGAAACTATGGGAACAAACAAAACAAGAACCAATCACCAACCAACAAATATGCATTAAAAAGTGGAGATGGATTGGGCACTCGCTCGCTGAGGAGGCCGGTTGGTGACATCGCACGTCAGGCCATCGCTCGAGTGGAACCCGAAAGGGAAGCAGCGTGTGGGACGTCCAAGTGTGACATGGAGGAGATCGTGTGAAGAGGGGTTGAAACAGTATGGATGGGCTAACATGGATACAGGTGAAAAGTACAGCAGAAGACAGAAGCAAGTGGAGAAGTGCAGTTGAAGCCCTATGTTCCACTAGGAACCCAAGGGAGTAATAATAATAATCACACTATTGCATCTAATTTCCTCAAATTGTAAATAAAATTAATCACACAGAAAATCTTCCACATCTACAATAGGGCTTATGTCAAAAACATGCAGCATATAAAATGGAAATAATAATAATGATGACAGCCAAGGTAATAATAATAATACAAATGAAAATTGCCATGGGCTTGTTTCACACAGTATTATCGATGTGGTATAGAAATCCTAACATGTTTAAAACTATTGAATATAATGTTCTCTTTACATGATATGGTGAGGGGAAAAACAAAGATTACAACAGTCATAGAGATAAGTTGGTGTTTGCAATTATGAAAGTAAAACAAATAAAGAAGCAACAGGACCATAAATGTAATAGAAATAATAAAAGTAAAACTTGAAGGTATATAAGGATGGACGAAAAGGCTAGTTAATTCTTGCCTGACACTATTTTCATCACATAAAATACGTGCCAAGTATGGTATCATAGAATTTCTATACTTAGACGTGCGAGCATACAGTTTTCTGAAGTGACTTCTTTTTCTACCTGAGGAGATGCAAGGTGAAAGCTGGGGGTAAAGTGGATGCTCCAAGTCAGACAAAATCCCTTTAGGAAATTTATTGCACAAAGTCAAGTGCCTATCGACAACAACGTTAACTATGTGGTCCACTGGGACACCACTCACCCTACTAACAGTCTTCAGTATTCTACGAATTGTGACATAGTCTTTTTTAAGCAAACCAGGAAACAATAAGCAAGGGTAACCAATAAAGAAGAATAGGTAGGATGCAAGTGTTTATGAACTAACTGTAAGAGGAGGACGGGGTTGAGTTATACCCGAGTGCCTTAACTTCTTAATGTAAAATGTCAGGCGGAATATTTTACTGGAGATCGCTAAGAGATGGGAAGACCAGGAGAGATCCGAAGAGAAGAGAATAAGTCCAAGATAATTAATTTCTGATTTGATTCCTATATCACCGTCGTCAGTCTTACAACTGTCATGAGAATCGATGATGATACACATATACATTTTTAATTTATTAATAAACAATTTCATTTTACCAAAAAATTTCAAATTTTCTCTTTTTCTGTTTCCTTTAGACATTTGGTCTAGTTGCAATAGGAGTTGGTATAGCATTAACTATCGCCATTGTTATACACTTCATGTAAGGCAGAGGCTTCAATTAATGTCTGTATAATCTCCTTCTTTTTCTTCAAAAATCTTCATTTTCAGAACAGCAGTGGGAAAGTTTCTAAAAGATAACTGGTGGATCAGTATTATGTTCAGGTAGAAATCATCTCTCTGTTTTATTTTTCTTATTTTCATTTCCCTTCTAATATCTTTTTTTATATGTGTGATAATATCATATTTTGTTTTTATCTTGAACGGAAATGATATGTTGGCTCTTTGTACGGATGCCTCTCAATGATACCTGAAGATTAACTTGAAGTAAATTTAGATAGATGGTGGATTTTAGCGATGGAATCTAGGATGCAAATTTCGTCCTATTTGGACCACATCATCCCCACTGAGGCTCGAATCCGGTTCCCATAGATTCATACTCCAAGACGTTATCAAAGTAGGTTACTTTAGTCACACTTTACCATTTTGGAAAGTTGGATAATGGGTTCAAGCTTCAGTGAGAGCGCCACAGTCACTGAGAATGCGCGTACAGTCAGATGACGAGTCCAAAATAGGAATAAATATGTGCATCCTGGATCCCAATGCTAGTCACAATCCATCAGAGTTACAGTTGAATGGACATTTACTTCGTGTTGTCAGATGTAGATATGATAGAAAAGATTTGTAGCTCAGGTGGATAATTTTGATGTGGTTTTGTTCTCTGAGCTGGATAGTTAGTTTGCGAAGCTTTCATCACCTTACTGGGTGACATCTTCAGCGCATACTTCAAATTGAAGTGAGCTTTTAGGTTTCTCCACGAGTTTATTAATCATCTCTCCTGGTGACCTTGGACGTGATTCCTTGTTTTTGTGTGTTTTCACACCCTCTAGGCTACTTGGATTGGAAGTGATTGTTTCCTTGACTTCAACTTTGACCCTCTGTGTGTGAGGGTTCTTTCTTATTGGTTGATAAATTTTGTCTATCTGGATGTGTCTATTGATTGACGATTCATTGGAATGCCAGGCTTCTAAAAATTCTCCAGCATTCTTGTTGTTTCCTCTGTCTAATATTTGAATGGTGTCCCAGTCAAATTAATGTCCGTGGTTGTCATTGTGTAGTGATATGAGGGAGTGGATATCATGTCTTTTGACGGACAACGTTCAAATATTAGACAGAGGAAATAACAAGAATGCTAGAGAATTTTTAGAAGCTTGGCATTCCAGTGAATCATCAATCAATAGACACATCGAGATAGACAAAATTTATCAACCAATAAGAAAGAAACTTCACACACACAAAGGGTCAAAGTTCAAGTCACAGAAACAATCAGTCCCAATACAAGTAACCTAGAAGGTGTGAAAACACACATAAACAAGCAATCACGTCCAAGGTCACCCACCAGGAGAGATGAATAATAAACTCGTGGAGAAATCTAAAAGCTCACTTCATCGAAATGAAGTATGCGCTGAAGATGTCACCCAGTAGGGTGATGAAAGCTTCGCAAATTAACCATCCAGCTCAGAGAACACAACCTCATCAAAACTCTTGTCAGATGATTGAAAGCAATTGGAAGAAAGTCTTCAGCATAGATTTTATGCTTGTTAGCAGGTTGTCAGTCAAAAAAGCGTACCTGCAAACTTGAAGGAACTCATATCGCTTCTAAGTTTCGAATCCATGTCACTCAGTACTGCAGGCAGAGAAGTTACTATTTGGCTGTTCGGGATCGCGACTGACTTTTTGTAGGACTGTATTGGATACTTTGATTCGGTATGGGTTCAAATCCCAGAAGAAATGTGAATTCCTTCAAGATTTCTTCAAAAAACACGCCTTGCTGACTGGTGAATGCCGATGAACACTAAAAAAACCTAGGTCAAGCTGGGTTTCCTTCAGATTACATCTAATCGTCTAATAAGAACAATGATGACCTGGCTGATAGAATTCAGTCTGCACCTATCGAAGGATCAGATGCATGACATTAGTGTTCAATCGAAGATATTTATTTCACTTAACGTAAATATATATAAGTGAGTTAAATTAAAATTAGCAAGTGTTGAGTTTTTGGAGATCTAATTGACTTCAAGGTAGATTTCAACAGAAAGTTCTAAACAGCTTTATTATCGCATTTCAGAACACTTTAGCAATATGCACTCATGATGGCATCAAAGATAGAACCGATTACTTATACTTTATGAGATGAGAATGTTATCAGCAGGCAATGAGTCGGGCGGAATGACTCATAAAATTCTAAATTCTATCAGTCTGCAGTATACCACTGTCGGCGTCTAGTATCACTGTGCTTTGTTGAAGAGCTTCAAACTGTAAAGCAACAAGGGTCTACTATGCTCTGAGTCCAGTTCATGACGAAACCTACCTTAGAATGGGAAGTGAATAAGCTAGACTGGAATAACAAAATCAGAATAAAAAACCAAAGAGATGACGTAACATCGTAAGAAATTTAGTTTGAGTCAAATGAGAGACACAGCTTTGATTTTATCAAGTATAGAATAAATCATTTATATATAGATGAAAATGAAAGGAGATTTAAGTCAATGCAAAAACTGGCGCGGAATGAGGCTGCTGTCCATCCCAAGCAAAATACTAAGTCGCATCATCCTGCAGAGAATCGAACAAGCCCTGGATGAAAAACTTCGAATGGAACAAGCTGGATTCAGGAGAGACAAGTCATGTATTGATCAAATTGCCACACTACGGATCATCATTTAACAAAGCTTGGAATGTCAGTCACCTCTATATCTCAACTTCATTGACTTTGATAAGGTCATCGACAGCGACGATCGAGATGTGATTTGGAAACTACTTCGCTCCTACGGCGTGACATCGACAATTATTTTGAGGTGGTTTTGTTCTCTGAGCTGGATAGTTAGTTTGCGAAGCTTTCATCACCTTACTGGGTGACATCTTCACCGCATACTTCAAATTGAAGTGACCTTTTAGGTTTCTCCACGAGTTTATTATTCATCTCTCCTGGTGACCTTGGACGTGATTGCTTGTTTATGTGTGTTTTCACACCTTCTAGGCTACTTGTGTTGGAACTGATTGTTTCTGTGACTTGAACTTTGACCCTTTGTGTGTGAAGTTTCTTTCTTATTGGTTGATAAATTTTGTCTATCTCGATGTGTCTATTGATTGATGATTCACTGGAATGCCAAGCTTCTAAAAATTCTCTAGCATTCTTGTTATTTCCTTTGTCTAATATTTGAACGTTGTCCCAGTCGAATTGATGTCCGTGGTTGTCTGTGTGTAGTGAAATGAGGGAGTGTATATCATGTCTTTTGACGGCTAGCTTATGTTCGTGGATACGAAGACGAAGGGGACGTCCACTTTGGCCAATGTAGTGTTTTTCACAGTTGTTGCAGTTTATTTTGTAGATGATGTTGGTTTTGTCTTCTTTTGCCGTTGAGTCTTTTGGTTGACATAGAATTGAGTGCAGCGGCTTTGTTGGTTTGTGTACGACGTCAATTCCTAAAGGTTTGAGGAGTCTTTTAGTGATTTCTGAGATATCCTTTATATATGGTAAGGTGATTTTCTTTGTGTTTTCCTTGGTGGCTTTTGTTTTGGTAGGTTGGCTTGGGGGTACATGTCTCTTGATGAAATTCCGGGGATATCCATTCTTTTGGAAGACGTCCATGAGATACTTTTCTTCAATTTTTCTTAAGGTGGGAGTGCTGCAGTGAGTCCTTGCTCTCTTGAATAGTGTTTGTATGCAGTTCCTTTTGTGTGCTATTGGGTTGTTGCTGTTGTAATTCAGTATTTGGTCTGTGTGAGTTGATTTCCTATAAACTTGAGTTTCTAATTCTCCTGTAGCTGTTCGCCTGACTAAGACGTCCAAAAATGGTATTTTCTTCTCGGATTCCTCTTCTCTTGTGAATTTGATGTCGTTGAAGACGTTGTTTATTAAGTTGTGAGTTTTGTCTAATTCGTTTCTTTTGATTATTACAAATGTGTCGTCGACGTAGCGTATCCAAATCTTGGGTTTGATCTTTGGTAGAATTATGTTTTCGAGTTTTTGCATCACTGCTTCTGCAATCAAACCTGATATTGGCGATCCCATGGGTGTTCCTTTCATTTGTTCATATATTTGGCCGTTGAATTGGAAGTATGTTGTTAGGCATAGATTTATGCATTCCATCCAGCTTGTGTGTTGCATTTTTGATTGTTGTGGAAGTTGTTCGTCGTTGCTAAGTAATTGCTCCATGGTTTCTTTTGCTAGTTTTTGTCCGATAGAGGTATATAATGCTGTCACGTCGAAGGATACCATTATTTCTTGTTCATCTATTTGGATGTCTCTGATTTTCTCTAGGAATTGGATAGCAGAGTTGATGGAGTGATCACAGGATTCCGTTAGGTGTTTTAGTTTTCTGTATAATTCCTTGGACAAATTATATGTTGGAGTTCCTGGGAGTGATACAATTGGTCGTAACGGGATATTTGCCTTGTGTATTTTGGGTCTGCCGTAGAATCGAGGTAGGACTGGTCCATTGGATTTCATTCGCCATTGGTCTTGTTTTGTGATCTGTCCAGTTTTGCTGAGCTTGTTTAAGGTCCTTTGGATGCGGTTGTCCAATGTTTGTATGGGATTTGTTGGGAGTTGTTGATATACATCTTCATCTTTGAGTAGTTCTTCAGCTTTCTTGGTGTATTCTTCTCTGTCCATGACTACTGTTGTTCTTCCTTTGTCGGTTGGTAAAATGACGATGTCCTTCCTATTTTTCAGCTTTTTGAGGGCCTTTAGTTCTTGAGAGTTGAGTTGTGTGTGTTGTCTTTTCTGTTTGACCATTGGTACAATTGTTTGGCGTATCTCTTCCTGTGTTTCCTCGTTCAAGTTTGATGATTTGAGTAATGATTCAAGGGCAGCGAAGAAATCAGTTTTTGAAGCATCTCCAGTGTTGTAGTTTAATCCTTTTTGTAGTAGTTGTTGTTCCATTTTTGATAGTGGTTGTTTTGATAGGTTGACTACGCAGTCTATGGGCGTATTGTCTGGTTGTTGTTTTCTAATCTTGGCCAGCTTGGTTTTGAGGACTCTTCGTCTTTGTTCTCTGTGTTTTCTACTTGACAGTGAAATTGCGGTGATCAGCGTTGACAGGTGTTCTTGGTTGAGGGTTTTCTCTAATTTTGCTTTTTGGACATCTATTATTTGTTGATAT